TGCCGGCTCGGTAGCCTTCCGAGAGCACTAGTTAGGCTTTGGCGTTTGTGCTTGTCCTGCGGTGGTTGCTTTCTCTGGCCCTCTTGCGGCCCATCATACTGCGCCGTTTGGTGCTCAGTTTCTTAACCGCTAGAGGGGGTATCTTCTCTTTTGGCATTTTCCTATGGAGCAACAACTAATGCGAGCTTGCGTTGAGTAAGCTGGGTTAGTTGGGTGTAAGGCCCAATGCGTGACTGTTAGTCTAACTGTCTCGCAACGGCTCGTGTCCTCATGGCTGTCATTTATATGCGCGTTTGGCTGGTTAGCTTATCTTTTTTTTGTTGTTCAGCGCGCCTATATTAGTCGGGTATAGCCCGCGCCATGTGCCCATAGATGTACGACCGGCCGTCAAACCTGGCGACAGATAACTTGGCAGGTGGGTGGAACCTACAGTCCAGCCCTCTGCTATGGGATGCATCTCTTCAACATCATACAGAAGCGACAGTTAAAAGAGCATTAGTTATTCATATTGTTCATCATACTTGGTCTCCAGGACATGCATGTCTCATCCTTCCAGAGCAGGCCCACATTGGAACACTCATGCTCCCGTTTACCCTTACCCCTTTCAAGCTTGTACGACAGGTATGATGTCAGTAATATGTGTGGGTCCACCTTGTCAGTATCCCGGACGTGCGGTCAACATTAGCCATAGCACGATTATGTTCGGGGACCTAGCCATCCATCTCCCCACGTGAGAAGCATGGATAGGGTGCGAGGTAGCGCATGATGTGCCAGTGCCTCGCTAGCACTACCATCAGGCCCTGACGCTTGGGGTGCGGCAAGGCCCAGCACGGCCATGGCACAATGGACTCAGCCAATAACAATGCTTCGCCCTCCACCGGTTCGCTCTGTACAATTGGCATTCGCAACTTCTTATCCACCTGCTGCTGTTCATTACGTGCACTGAACCATGCAGCCTTCACGATCACACGCTCCGCTCCATCAGGCCCCCTGTGCTTCAGCAGCCGCTGCACTTTCCCAAAGCACATCTTCATGGTACCCCGGGACCGTCGTAGGAACCAGCTTCCAATTGATAGCCTAGCAATGCCAACAGACACGACTTGGAGCAAGTCAGCAGTTGCATGTAGATCAACTCCAGCGATCCCTGCTTCAGCATAGAATGCTGTTAGCTCCGCAAGCGAGATGACACTTATGTCGCTTAGGGTATATGCTCTCTGTGCCACCCTGCCTTCCTTGATTACGGGTGTGTTGCCGAAGAAATCCTCTGGTGTCCAAAGCGATGCAGGAACATCTGTGTCATCAGCTCCACGGCCCTCATCCTCAGATTCGATGTTCACTTCGGTTTCGATCTGTGGTCGTACACTAACAGTCACCTCTTTGTCCAGGGAGCAAAAGAACATTGCTGATTCCATGTTCGCTTTGTTGTGCGCCCACTTTCCAAGACAACCCCATATTGATTCTGGGTTGAACATGGACGTAGCAAACAAAGGTCCTACAGGTCAAGCATGAACATAGCATCATCAGAAGCTCACATGGCATCATTACATTCAATCATGGACGCTTACCGGCTTCTTCAATGCTGTCAACTAGGTGAATCAAGTTGTGAAGCTTTATGTCGAGGTTTATTGCAGAAAGGTATGCTTCGACGCCACAAATTGCTGACACCACCCGGGTACGTAAGTCTGGCAACATACTCCTACAATGGTGGGGGGGGAGGGGAGCGATGAGGGAGGGGGAGGAGAGGGGGAGGAATGGGGGGTGAGGGTGACAGTGAACGATTGAATGGTACGGAAATGTTGGAAGAAATTTAAGAAATATGTGTATGATGACATTGTCTTAATGGCTAGAACTACTACTTTTGACCCGCCAACGACCCTGAGCTTCCCGTGTTGTACATGACTTGCCCCGGCCTGCCTCGGGAGCAATGGCGGTTAGTGATGCACAGCCTTGAGACGTTGGCCTTTGCAGAGGGCACCTAAGTGATGTGTATGCCTACTAAACTGCCCAACACCGTATAGCGCCAGAGGTGATTGGTTTGCACACGACTGTGATTGTTACCTCATCTGAACCTTATCCCAAAGATCGCAGCACGCGTGTAGCAAGTCCACGTACACCTGCTCAGCTTTGCGTTGAGATAGGCGCATGCATGACACAGCGTACACCCCAACAGGGCCTGCTAGGAGGAAGAATGTATGGGTCTTGGCTTTCTTGTTAGGCGCGGTAAGCCTCTTTAACCTGGAGCCAATCCAGGTTGGGGCGCTGTTAGCGATGCGACTTAGGGCGGCCCTGAAGCGGCTGAGTTCTTCAGAACCTGTACCCATCAGAGAAAAAGCACAACAGGGCACATCACATGGTTCAAAGACTGAACCCTACATGGTTCATAAGTGGAGAGCCCCGCCTCAAGGTAAAGGATGTGGACAGACACTACACCCAAGAACCACGTGGTGGATTACTGCCCCAATACTGCCCCATGACTACATGTGTATCATTCTTTGTCTTTGCATGGCAATTGTTCGGGATGGCTCAAAAATTTACAAGGGATGCGACATACCTGCAACCCCGGCCGTCTTGGTCTGAATGTTGTTGTCAGAGTCGTACTCAACCAAGGTGTCACTCGCATTTGCTGCACGCAAACCTTGGATGCCAAGCACCACCACGTCCTTGATGACACCCCCAATGGTGTGCATCGCGTCGTATTGAATCATTTTGGATGGATCAAAACCTGGCAGGGTGTATAGTGGACACGCTTCCTTGAGCCCCCGGTTTGCTGCGTCAACTTCACTGAAGCTTGGAAGAACAGGAGACGGCAGCGCATACTTCATCTCCACAAAACTGCGGGCGCGTGCTGGCGCCTGCCCGATGTGCCAGGGCCTGCTTGTGTTCCCCAGATGCAAGTTGCGCATGAAGGGACGCAGTTCGTGTGCCAAAGGAAGCCACGGAAAGTGGTTAGGGTAAATGGCCTTGTGTCCTATCATGACCCCCTTGTGCCAGCATTTGAAGCAAGCATTGGGGCTAGGAGAGCCCTTGATTCCAACGTGCTTCTGTAGACCACGGTAATCGGAGATAAGGCCCACTGCTTTCACGTAACACGTGAAGTTGGACTTGGTGTTGTTGTTGTTGTGGTTACAGTATTTCCGCCGCCGACGCGGCGGGTGCCCTCACGAGCCGTGAGGCTCCAGAGCACGCTGTTGACGCTCATCAAAAACCTCAGTAAGGAAAGTAGCGATTTTCCTCGGATTGGTATTAAGAAATACCTTGCGCATATCAGTATCTTCAACGTTAATCAGAAACCTATTACGCAACTCAGTATACGCCTCACACTCCATGAGCACATGATATTCATCCTCAACCTTACCCGACGTACAGACCTGACACGTACGGCACTCTCTCGGCCTATGGTGTCCTTTGTTGACCTCCAAAGGCCAACAACAAAGACGGAATTTGGCAACCATACGCAACTGGTTGACCGGCAAATAAACACGCACATAGCCTGTGGGATCGGAGCCCTCTCTTGCTGGTGAAGGGGAGCCCATCCAGTTATGATACCTGCAAAGCGAAACCCCTTTACCTTGGAACACACGCGGATCACCCCCTTGGCTGAACTGATCCCAGTCACTTAAAAGGAACGCAGATAACCTCTCCAGAACCTCACCCACTCGAATCAACTGAGACGAGTATACATCTACCTTCTGAGAAACGGAGTCACACGCCGGCCACTCATGGCCCAACCAACGCAAAATGATGAGCACTTTAGACGACCAGCAATCCACTTTGAGATCAGACAGAAGAGCCAG